TCGCTGAGAATTTCGTCCTGGAACCTTGACGGGTTCCGGGCCAAAAAAACGGAACTCGTGGACATCTTGAACCGTCTAAACATAGACGTTATGGCTGTCCAGGAGACCTACCTCAGCGAGGCATCCCGTACCTCCATCCCTGACTATGACATATACAGACATGACAGAAACCGTAACGGGGGTGGTGTTGCACTCATAGTAAAGAAGTGCATCGACCACTATCCGCTGCAGCGGCTCCAAACTCAAAACACAGAGGCCGTGGCGATAGCGGTGAGATCGCTACGGCATGGAGACGTTGCGGTGGTGTCCTGTTACCACCCACCCAGACTACCACTACTTGACAATGACTTAGACAAAATCCTTTCCTGGCCCCAGACAATTGCCATCGGGGACTTCAACGCGAAGTCCCCCATATGGCACAGCGGGACGACGACCACAAGAGGTCGCGTCCTGCTGAATTACCAAGACAGACACGACGACTTGACTATACTCGGACCGACAGAACCGACACATTACGGACCCGTAGGACGCCCCGACGTTATCGACATTGCCCTCTTAAAATCTATACCGTTAAATGCCCAAATATCCACCCAATACGAAGGGTCTTCCGCCCACAATCCAATATTTCTGGATCTGGGGCGAAGACAGAGATATGAAGGCACCTTCACGAGGAGGTTCACTGACTGGGAGCGTTTCCGAACAGTAATGCAAGGAAACATGGCGCTCCCAGTCATCGAAACCACCCATGATCTGGAGGCGGCAATCCTCTCCCTTGAGACTGACATTAAAAACGCCCTGACTCAGACTACGACGGAGACTATTGTCCCCCGACTGACAAACCCCCGGGGCACCCTCCCCGATGACATAAAAAACTTAATACGTGACAGACGACGTGCGAAACGGCTTGCCACCCGCACCCGCCTCCCCCGACACAGACATGACTTAAACGTACTTAACAGACGGGTGAAGGCGGCTCTGGATGAACTGGCCCAGGAAACTGGGCTAGGCACCTAGAGTCGCTGGATCCACAAGACAACGGCCTCTGGAAAACGCTGAGGGCCCTGCGACAGACAGCTCGCCGTAAAATTCCTCCAATCCACGGTAGTGTGGGGGGTGGTTTACACGAACCAGGAAAAGGCCGAGGCTTTCGCCGACGGCCTGGAACTGCAGTGTAGACTGCCTCAGCTGCCCGACGAAGACGAGGAATTCGAGATAGTGGCTGAGCGCGCGGCCCGACGCGTCTACAGAGAGCCAGACAACGACATAATCCCCCGCAACTCCTGACGAACTAAGACTGACAATACGCAGACTTAAAAACAGAAAAGCCCCCGGACCCGACAATATACATAACACGACACTTAAACGACTACCACACAAGGGCCTCATGGCCCTACTAAACATAACAAACGCGACACTCAGACTAAGACACTTCCCTACCCGCTGGAAAACAGCAAACATAATCCTTATCCCAAAACCCAACAAAGATCACACCATCCCATCCAACTACCGGCCCATTAGCCTGCTCCCGGCTATGAGCAAAGTGGTAGAAAAAATTATCCTAACCCGTCTAAGAACCCACTCCCAAGAACTGCAAGTCATTCCAGACGAGCAGTTCGCCTTCCGACCCAATCACTCCACTGAACTCCAAATCCTTCGCCTTACCGAGCACATCACGGCGGCCTTCAACAGGGGACAGTACACTGGTGCTGTCTTCCTGGACGTCGCAAAGGCCTTCGATACGGTTTGGCATGAAGGCCTACTGATGAAAATGCTCACCAACCAATATCCCATATCCTTTACCAAACTCATAAAATCCTACCTACACCACCGAAAATTCCGCATCCAAATCCAAGATTCCCTTTCCACCACCCGTCCCATGGAGGCCGGTGTCCCCCAGGGCACCGTCCTGTCCCCACACCTATACACCATTTACAACTCCGACATCCCACATCCCCCCAACACCAACATATACTTATACGCCGACGACCTGACAATCACATCCCAATCCGTAGATCCTAGATATTCCGTCTACCTCCTCCAAAGCTCCTTAGACCAACTTGAAACCTGGTGCAACAGGTGGAAAGTCAAAATTAATCCCAACAAAAGTTCGGCTATCCTTTTTACCAAACGAAAAATCCCACAAAACCTCGACAGACTGACACTATCCCAGGAACCCATCTCCTGGAATCGACAAACACGATACCTGGGCGTGACGATGGACCAGCGTCTCACGTGGAAACCGCACATCGTGGAGACGGTGGCGCGAGCGAAGACCACCAGGGCTAGGCTCTATCCCTTACTCAAAGGTGGAAACACCCTCAGTTTAAGGAATAAGCGAACGCTTATCAAGGTGGTACTTCAACCGCAGCTAACCTACGCCTCCACGGCGTGGGGTCACGCGGCAAAAAGCCACTTAAAGTCATTACAGGCTGTGGAAAACATAGCCCTCCGCACGGCCACCGACGCGCCCTGGTACGTAAGAAACACTGACATATTACGAGACTTACAATACACAAACGCTACACAGACAATAAGACAAAACGCGGAGAAACGATTTGACGTAGCCGCTAGACATGACAATCCCCTCCTCAGGCAAGCCGTTGACTACGTACCCGACGTGACCGACAAACACAAAAGACCTAGACACCAACTTTTTGACCCTGGGTGACCACCCCAATGACCCCCCCCCTGCCCGCTAACCTTTTCTGTTTCAGAGACAGCCAGGATCAAGAAACGAAGACAACGACACACACACACACACACACACACACCCCCCATACCCTCCTTAACCCTCCCCTCCCGCGCTAGCCTAAGGGCCACCTTAGCAAAGCGCATCCCAGGCTGCATAGCCGCACTACCCTACCCAACCATACCACACATAAACATGACACTACCCCCGGGGTTTACACAGACGAGCCGGCGAAGCAAGAAGAGCGCCAGAAGAAAGGGCCCTAGCCGGCGGGGCCCAGCCAGGACAAAAGGAGGTCCCACAAAGCGCCTACACCGGCCTCATTTGCGGTCGGGGTAGACGACGGATGGGGCCCACCTACGAAGCCTGTCCAGGCCTACACGAGATGAGGCAGGATAAAGAGGGATAATCCCCCTCGATCCCAAATCATTGAGGCCAATTTCTAGCCATGGAATAATGTGTTCCAACATGAGTCAGGAATTGGTTCCGAACCGTTCGAAATGTTCATCCAACTAATTCTTGCGATATATTCAGTGGAGACACATTTAGAACTTATCTGGCCAAACATTTCGAACGGTTCGGAACCAATCCCTGACTCTTGTTAGAACAGACCTAACATGATATAATTTTGATTGTTTTATCTTCTGTGGTTCGGGGAGGCGGTCCAGTATTTCCAGTTAGTAATCTGTGGCCAAGTAGTTCAGAAGGTGTGGGGGAATAATGACAAAAATGAAAAATAAATATTCTATACTTTTACCTACCTACAATGAAGTAGAAAATCTTCCGATGATAATATGTCTTTTAGTAAAATATATGAAAAATAGGTATAATTTTATATTAGCATCATAATAAATCAATTAATAGCAGCAAATTTTAGTGGTTATAATTATGAAATTATTATTATTGATGACGGTAGCCCAGATGGAACAATGGAAGCGGCTGTACAATTGCAAGCTATTTATGGCAAGGATAAAATATTACTACGACCAAGAGAAAAAAAATTAGGATTGGGAACAGCTTATATATATGGCATCAAACATGCCACTGGAAATTTTATTATAATCATGGATGCAGATTTAAGTCACCATGTAAGAACATTATCATTAAGTTTTGATCATCAAAGCAAAGTTTACTAAAATATTGCTTTTAATTAATCTGTTACAATTTAATTAAAAAATTTAAATTAAGTAATACCTTATTTAGTCAGCATCTGTGTCTTTAATTGTTTACTATACTATATTTAAAAGGTTAAAATGTATTAACTTTTATATTTTATTCGTTTTATTAAAAAGTTCGTTAATATTTAACTTTATCTTTTATATCCTTAAAGTAATTGAATTAGAATTTGTAATGTATTTTGTTTATTTACTCAAAATCCCTAAATTATTCTTAACTGTGCAGTGTGCATGTATCTATAAATATTTGTAAAAATTATATTAACGATAACTTTATTTCCTTAAATTAAGAAATAAAATAGAATCTTACAGATAGCTGACTGAATTAGGCAAAAATTACTTAAAAAGCACGAATATAAGGTGTTTTCCAATAAATATTAGAATTATTTTGTAATTGTTTGGAGTCTGCTCAAATAGAAGTTAGCACTGATTCTGGAGCTTCTTAATTATGTTCCGGTAACAAATGAACCAATGAACTAACTCAGAACAGTGACATTAGTTCAGGCATGGCCTTAAGAAAACCAAGGGGGTAACTACCCTCCGCAATATCTGTATATTTTTGCAAGAAATTGTTTACCACCTTCATCAATATTGCTTCACCCTTTCACTGCTCCAGACGTATTTATTTGCTAAAATTTTATAGGACTCGAACTGCTCCAGACGAATTAATTCGGTTGAATAGTTAAATTGGATCAGGCTCTCAAACCGTATATATTTATCATGCGCATTAGTGACTTGGTTGGTATAGGAAATTTTTGCAGCCGGAGCTTATAGCGATTATGGCAATTATTTTTATGGAAGGAGGTACTGGTAATAATGCCAAGATTGTTCATCTTTTTTTCAGTTTCTGTGCTTTATAATAAAATAATAATTAAACTTACAATTATTTTGAAACGTTTAAACATATTTTAATTTAATTTAACACAACATAATGTAAAAATATAAGTAGTTTAACTGCTTCAGATGAGTATATTTGCACGCGGTAAACTACGCGATAGCTACGTTCAGACGTATTGCGCAGCGAAAGATTTAAAATGGACTAGTGGGTGTTGTGATTCTGAGATCAGGAATTTAATATTGTTTATTGTTTCAGCATTAAAAAGTGTGTTGGAATTATTATTAACATGTAAACTAAATACGAGGAGTGTTCAAATTTAGTTACTTAATAGTTTAGTAATAACAAACAAACAAAAAGGTATATTAAGTAATGCTGTTTTTCTATATCCTTTTCAATGCATGGGAGCCAATAGCTTTTGTATTCCCAGAGAAAAAGATTCTTGTATCTGCTGAGCATCTATAGCCAAACTGTTTCATGAATCTTCCAATGAAGACATTAAAAAAATGGTAAATAGAAGTATTTATTTAAAGTGAAGTATAATTATCATATTTTTTGAAAAATTTTTAGTTGGGAACACATTTTCATTTATTGAAATGAAAAAAACATTTTTATTTCCATTGAATGAAAATGTTTTTTTAGTTAAAAGTTCTGAAGGATAAATGGAAAGGAACAGTCTACTTGTATTTTTGATTTGTATTCTTCATATGAGCTATGACATGCTAGCTATTTTTATGTTTGTTACAGATAGCTGTTTATAGTGGTTTCAAGGCTATCATGACCCTTGTTGATATTTAAAATACCATGGTTTTTTGGGTTATTATGTTAAGGCATAACAAATTATGTACCTGGTCACCACCAGTTGCAGACTTACACTGCACTTCCTTAGCATGAATCTTCGATCTGCTCTTATTGTTTTCTGGCAAGGCTCTGTGGTGGCAGACCGCCATTAGAACCCAGCTGTTTTTTCTGACCAATAAATGTTCAGCATTTATAATCCCTTTTTCAATTAGAAAATTTAATTTTCACAACACACCTTTTTTACAATCAACTGTATACTGAAGATTGAATGGTTGAATCAAGTTAGAATATGATAGAGTTAGATGTATGAATCAGTGTATCACATGATATATAGAGTTTTGCACTTGTTTCTCTGTATACCAATAATACTTCAAAGTGAAGTAAAATTACCATTTTTAAATAAAACACATTCTACTCATACCTCATAGGTAGTAGTTACAGACTGTAACTTTTAAATGTTTTAGTGCAGTAATTTTTAGTAAGTTAGGGCAGTTTTTTTATTGTATGGGCATAATAGGTACCTTGAATAAGACCGCTTATACTGTTAATATTTCCCAGTGGCTTGTTACTGTTACATTTCTCGGAAATACATTAGTGAGTTAATGGGTTAAATGTTTCTGACTGTTCGAAAATGGTCCAAGATTGCTACTTGAACAAGTCTATTATTATATTATATTTATGTTTGCACAGGAAAGTTGCGTACATATTTGCATTAGAATTTTGTACCGAATTTCATTCTGTAGTATAAGTTCTATCCACACAATAATGTTGGAGTATGCAGCTTAAGATATTCATATACTGTCTCACTAACTTGTTATTTGTATTATATTAAATTTCTGTTGAAACTGCTTTATTGAGGTATTTTAAATATATACAGTGTGATAAAATTTTACTGTGAACATCTTCGTAAAATTTCTTAAGGAAGGCGTTGCTGGAATATATATTGCAACCACTGACCTACAGGTTATGAATAGGGGGAGAAAACCGATTTGTGAATCGCATCCAGAAGGAGTTGATCGAGATTATGCTGGCTTCTCAAAGTGTCATGGAAGATATCTCTGGATTGAGGGTGGTGGACTGCATCTCCATATCCGACCACAGGATAATCGCTTTTGGGATGGAGTCAGATCCGGAAACAATAGCGCCCTCCAATGAAACTCAAGAGTAAGAAACTGGGTGTATATTGTATATACACCCAGTACCTGTGGACCTTTTGGGAAAAATAGCCAAGTCAAACGAATATGCTCTATAAGGCAGTTGAGGTAGAACTCCTAAGTAGTTGTATCATTTCCGCATATGAGAAAGTTTGCCCACTAAAGACGGTAGAAGGGTGTACAGTCCGCTGGTGAAATAAGGCTCTAGAGAGACCTTTAACCGAGCTGGCAAGGGAGGGGAAAGAACCTCTTAAGACGATTACATTGTTACTCTCTAACAGTTGAATTTAATATGTCAACTAGCAACATTGATACATGATACACTGATATCTCTTACCATGCAAATTCCAGGTGGCCCTGTTTACTGCTTCAGTTGTGTCATAAATTAAAATGCTGTTTAGAAAACTAATTATAACTTGACTATTTATTAATAAGAAATAATGTCACATTCATATTCATTCTATTATACAGGGTGTAACTTTAAGTGGGGGTCAGTTTATTAGGGTAATGATATTTTCACAAATTTGTTTATAATTTTCTGATGTATTTTATCTAGAAAAAGATAATACTCACAAAATCTTATCGACACACACTTATTCACAAATATGAAGTAATCAAAAAAATTAAATGCCCCAAGAAAACAAAAAAAAACATGTAGGTAGCATTGATTACAGAAAACTTAATGAAGTCACTACAGGAGGTAAATATCATCTCCCAAATATTTATCCCAAATATTTTCGACTTGGGTCAACTACGCAAATGGGAATATTTCACCATATTAAACTTATCCTCAGGTTTTCAACCAATTTTATTTAAATTTCTCTCAAGACAACCCAAAAACAAAAATTTTTAGCAGAAAATGGATATTTTGAATTTGCTACCCTTCCTTTTAAAAAATGCACCCTCTACATTTCACTGTGTAATGGACAATATTCTTTTAGGTATACAAAATATAGGATGTCAATTAGTATACAGGGTGTATTTAAATGGAGGGGAAAATAAGTCGATTTAACCTAACATACCTATATCCCAAGTCGCATAATAAAAATTATACAGGATGTCAAAGTGAAAAATAAAAAATGGTTTTTCCTTAATAATTTCCATAATTTTAGTCAGAAGTGTTTCAAATTTTCAACAGAGGTTTTTTAATGATGGGAAAAATAATATAATAATGTTTTTTGAGTGTCGAGTACGAGGCGCCCTCTGCAGGCAACGTTATGCATTGAATATGTAGTAACTTTTTTGCCAACCCCCGTATACAGCTTTTAGTAACAAAATATGAAATATTGGGCTTTTTTGAACAAAAAAGGTATACTTATTGAAAATGGTTAAAGCCAACCGTTGAGGAGATATTTTTAATTTCATAAATTAGTGTTACGGATTTATACCTTCACGAATATGAAGGTTCGAGTTGCTTAAAAAAATAAAAAAATCAAATAGGTAAATGTCATTTGATAATATTCGAAAATTGTAATTCTGAAGTATTAGTTTTAAGTGTTAATTGATTTTAGTCACTATTTACCTGCATCCTAGATATTAAATAGTTTTGGAATTGAATAAAATAACCATTTATGTATACTAATGACGAGTATGTCGATACGTTGCAAGTATTTTTTGAATGTTACAAGAACTGTGCTGCTGCTATACGACTTTATCATGCCAGATATCCCAATCGTTGTGTTCCTGCTAGACAAACTTTTGCGGCGGGCGGTAGAAATAAGATTTCGAGAAAACGGACACATTCAACCTCGTCCTAAAGATACTGACAGAAGACGTTTGATTCGCGATCTAGAACTCGAAGAAGTTGTCCTTGGCAATTTACAAGATCAGTCAAATGGCCTGCGCGATCACCGGATCTTACACCTTACACTCATGGACTATTTTTTATGGGGTCACTTAAGAAATGTTGTTTATTCCAACCCTATTGATAGTGACGAGATGCTTCGTCAAAGAATTTTTGCAGCAGCTGAGTAAAGTATGACATACATATGTATTTTTTCAATTCGTAGTAATTTTAATTGTAGAATTAGACTATGCTTACAAGAAAATGGAAACTACTTCGAAAATATCCTTTAAAAAAATCTTGTTTTTTTATTGTCAGCCAATTGTTTCTATTAAATTATCTATTGACTCTTAAGTTAAGTGACTCTTGGTTTTAGTTGTTTTGCTCTCTTTTCTAATAATTATTTTTAAACTAACAATAAAAGTATTTTGCAATATTTTTTCACCTGAACTGTTATTTCATATGAGATTTCTTTATGCAGGGTGTAAATAATTTCACATGCACAAGAAAATCTGTTTTTTAATAGACACCGAAAAAACAATTAAAAAAGAGTAAAGTAAATTTAAAATAGGAAAAATAATATTGACTTAGTTGATTCCTGCTCCCCCTTTTGGTCAAATTTTAAAATACATATTCTAAATTTATTAACAAAAGTGTCTGTTTGTACCGTGGTTGTATTCGTGGAGGTATAAATCCGTAACACTAATTTATGAAATTAAAAATATCTCCTTAACGGTTGACTTTAGCCATTTTCAATTAGTATACCTTTTTTGTTCAAAAAGGTCCAATATTTCATATCTTGTTATTAAAAGCTGTATACGAGGGTTGGCAAAAAAGTTACTATATATCCAATGCAAAACGTTGCCTGCAGAGGGCGCCTCCTACTCGACACTCAAAAATCATTATTATATTATTTTTCTCATCATTAAAAAAACTCTCTGTTGAAAATTTGAAACATTTCGGACTAAAATTATGGAAATTATTAAGGAAAAACTATTTTTTATTTTTCACTTTGACACCCTGTATCTTTTTTATTATGCGACTTGGGATATAGGTATGTTAGGTTAAATCGACTTATTTTCACCCAAGGAATCTCTGGTATCATTTGTGCCCCTCCATTTAAATACACCCTGTGTATTCACCAACAATTCCTGAATATATTGAACAATTAACAGAAATCTTTAAAATATTAAGAGGAGCGAATTTAAAACTTCTAACTCCTGAAAAAATGCACTCATAAATTTCCTACAACAAAAAACAAAAAAAGACGAGGACTTGCAAAACCTTTAAAACCTATTCATAAAATTATTACAAAGAGACACAAAAATTCCATTTTAATTCTTTAGAGTAATTCATTTCACAATTATTACTGTCTCTTTTCTATTAAACCTTATGGGAATCGAAAATGTTCCAGATTATCCTTTGACAGGAGCCTACTACGTTATATTACATATAAGCTATTTGTAAACTTCGCATTTTTTCATAGAAATGAGATTTCATGAAAAACTAATGAATTTTTGTATAGAGCAGGTATAGCAAAGTTGTAGAGAATTTAATTCTGCATATCATGGTATGAAAATATACAGGGTGTTGCATTTAAAAAATTCGAGATTTTTCTATTTTTCAATTGGCAATTTTGACATGATGTTTTGGTCACCGTGTATAACACAGTCCTGTTTTTGGAGCATGATTCGGAAGAGTCATCCTTACTAAACATATCCATCAACTCCGAGTACACGCAAACCATTTTTGACACAAACTACCCATTTTTGACACTAACTACTAAAAACCTGTTGTAAACACCACAGATAACAACTAAATATCGCAACGACGATTGCAAAATCCGAATTCAGTATTTCGAGTCGCTGAGGCCACGTGGCGAATGACGCTAGAGACTACAGTTGTCCAGCTATGTAGTGGTTGAATGTTCTATAACTTTAATATTTTTTATACGATATTGATTCCATTTCTCATGCTGCATCTATTCCCAAATTTTTTTGTATAAGTTGTGAATCACCCTGTATATTGTTTTTTTCACAAGGCCATGTTGGAAAAGATCTTCCTGTCGCCATTATTCCATGGCTAGAAATTGGCCTCAATGATTTGGGATCGAGGGGGATTATCCCTCTTTATCCTGCCTCATCTCGTGTAGGCCTGGACAGCCTTCGTAGGTGGGCCCCATCCGTCGTCTACCCCGACCGCAAATGCGGCCGGTGTAGGCGCTTTGTGGGACCTCCTTTTGTCCTGGCTGGGCCCCGCCGGCTAGGGCCCTTTCTTCTGGCGCTCTTCTTGCTTCGCCGGCTCGTCTGTGTAAAC